GTGTGTGTGTGTGTGTGTGTGTGTGTGTGTGTGTGTGTGTGTGTTGCAGGGCCGGATCGGAGCTCGACATCTCTCTCAGATTCAGGAGGAGTCGGACAGCAGAGAGCACAGGTAACTGCTCAGGTGAAGAGATACACCACCGAAAGAAAAAAGAAAGAAAAGAAAGGAAATGACAAATTAATCTGAAACAAACGAGTCTGATTAAGAAGCTACCAGCAAAGGTAGGATTACACAAGCAGGTAGAGAGGCTAAAAGGGGAGGGGGACAGTCTTGGTAGTGCGTTCGTGCACATCATTGTTGTCATCATTTCACATAGGAAGGCTCCTAACTGAGCAAATTGACCAGGGAGTATCTGTATTAAGAGCTGTTTGATTTCTCTAGATGCTAAGGAAAGGTGCATGTGTGCTTCCTTTGTTACCTCCTTTAGCAGAGGATACATGGGAGCATCTTTTGAAGCAGACAGTGCCATCTATCTATTCATAGTGATGCACCGCCTGATGATTAATGAAAGCAGTAAGCAAAGCAAAGTAGTGCATATCATTTAAATGTTGAGTATATGTGTGCTTTCCATTTCATAACATAATTTGATGTTTTCAGTTTTTAATAACAGACCATTAAACCCACAGTTGAACTCTGAGCATCAAATAAAATCTGCAACAGAGATTTATATAAGCTCTCTAAATCAAGATTATAAGCAATATTAAGTATACTTAAGTTTCCCTGTAAATAAGCTTGCATTAGTTATGTCCCCACAATGGCCTCTTAATTGCATAAGTAATAGTCATATAAAATCCTAAACAAGGAGGAGGATTGGAGTTAGAGTCCAACATCTCTCTAGCAGGAAACATAATAATTATAAAAAAAATAAAAAATAAGAACTATAAAGTAAAGTTATCTAAACTAAACTTGGATGGAAACATTGCTGCTGGCAATAGAGGACCTGGAAACTCAGTCAGGGCAGTTCAATCTGATAACTGTGTGTGTGTGTGTGTGTGTGTGTGTGTGTGTGTGTGTGTGTGTGTGTGTGTAAGAGAGAGATAATCTGCACTGAAGCACAACCTTGGCAGAGGGATACTTTACTGTGATCAGACCCACTGTGTAAACAAATCTGAATGGAAACTGGTTTACATGGAGGAGTTTGTGTGTCACAGTGTGTGTGTGTGTGTGTGTGTGTGTGTGTGTGTGTGTGTGTGTGTGTGCATGCGTGCGTGCGTGCGTGTGTGACTATATGTCTTTGTGAGGCTGAAATCTCATATGTGAGGAGGTTT